TTTTTTTTTTTTTTGTAGAGACAAGGGTCTTCACTCTTGCTCAGGCTGGTCTGAAACTCCTGAGCTCAAGTGATACTCCTCAGCCATCCAGAGTGCTAGGATTACAGGCAGAGGCCACTATGTCCGGTTAACACTTTTTTTTCTCTCTCTCTCTCTGTGTTAACTTGTTTTTATTTTATTTTTTTTGTTTGTTTGTTTGTTTTAGCCAGAGTCTCACTCTGTTGCCCTGGGTAGAGTTTAGTATTCCTAGCTCACTGCAACCTGAAATTCAGGATTCTCCTGCCTCAGCCTCTCTAGTAGCTGGGATGACAGGCCCCCATCACAATGCCTGAATACTTTTTCTATTTTTAGTAGAGATAGGGTCTTAATCTTTCTAAGGCTAGTCTCAAACTCCTGACCTTAAGCAATCTGGCCACCACAGCCTCCCAGAGTGCTAGGATTGCAGGTGTAAGCCACCACATCCAGTATATTAGTTTCATTTGGCTTTGTAACAAGTTACCATAAACTCAACAGCTTAAAACAACTCTCACTTATTAGCTCACAGTTCTTAGTATCCCAAGGCAGAACCCAAGTTTTCAGCTGGGCTAAGGTCTCATCATCTCAAGGCTTCAGGGACAAACCTGCTTTCAAACTCATTATTTTATTTTATCTTATTTTATTTTTTGAGACAGTGTATCAAGCTGTCTCCTTGGGTACAGTGCCGTGGCGTCATAGCTCATAGCAACCTCCAATTGGAGCTCAAGCAATCCTCTTGCCTCAGTTTTTCTATTTTTAGTAGAGACAGGATCTCACTTTTGCTCAGGCTGATCTCAAATTCGTGAGCTCAAGCAAACCACCCACCTTGGCCTCCCAGAGTGCTAGGATTACAGGCATGAGCCACCATGCCTGGCCTATTTTTTAATTTTTTTTTTTTTTGAGAGTCTCACTTGGTAACCCTAGGTAGAGTGCGGTGGCATCATAACTCACAGCAACCTCAAATTCCTGAGCTCAAGTGATCCTCTTGCCTCAGCCTCCCAAGTAGCTGGGACTATAGGCGCCCACCACAACACTGGGCTATTTTTAGAGATGAGGTCTTGCTCTGGCTCAGGCTGGTCTTGAACCCATGAGCTCAGGCAATCCACCTGCCTCAGCCTCCCAGAGTACTAGGATTACAGGCGTGAGCCACAGTGCCCAGCTCTCATTCTTTGATTTTTAAATTTTTGTATTTTTGTAAGAGGCAGGGTCTCACTCTGTCCCCCAGGCTTCAGTGCAGTGGCACAATCATAACTCACTGTTACCTCAAACTCCTGAGCTCTGAGTGACCCTCCTGCCTCAGCCTCCTGAGAAGCTGGGACTACACGTGTGCACCAACACATGTGACTAATTAAAAAAAATTTTTTTGTAGAGATAGGATCTTGCTGTGTTGCCCAAACTCAAGCTCATTCTTGTTGGTAGAATTCACTTCCTTGTGGTGGTAGGCTCAAGGTCCTCATCATCTTGCTGGCTGTCAGCTGGAAACAGCTCTCAGGCCCTTCCACCTGGTCAGGCCCAATAGAGAACCTTCCTTATTTTGAGTGCCTCCAATTTGTACCATCCAAAGAAAGTTTTTTTTTTTTTTAAAGAGTCTCACTATGTCACCCTCAGTAGAGTGCTGTAGCATCACAGCTCACAACAACCTCATCAGTCTCCCAAGTAGCTGGGACTACAGGCACCCATCATAATGCCCGGCTATTTTTTTTGTTTGTTTGTTTCGGTTGTCATTGTTGTTTGGCTGGCCCAGGGCCAGGTTTTAACCTGCTAGCCCTGGTATATGTGGCCAGCACCCTAGCTGCTGAGCTACAGGCACCAAGGCAGAGAAAATAGTTTTTATTTTTATTTGTTTGTTTTTTTTGAGACAGAGCCTCACTTTGTTGCCCTTTGGTAGAGTACTGTGGTGTCACAGCTCACAGCAACCTCCAATTCCTGGGCTTAAGCGATTCTCTTGGTTTAGCCTCCCAAGCAGCTGGGACTACGCAGCTAGGACTACAGGTACTCCGCCACAACGCCCAGCTATTTTGTTGCCATTGTCACTGCTGTTTTTTTTTTCCTTTTCTTTTAGCTGGCTGGGGCTGGGTTTGAACCCACCATTCTCGGTTTATGGGGCCAGTGCCCTACCCACTATTTTTTTTTTTTTTGAGACAGAGCCTCAAGCTGTCCCCCTGGGTAGAGTGCTGTGGCATTACAGCTTACAGCAACCTCCAACTCCTGGGCTCAAGCGAGTCTCTTGCCTCCGCCTCCCAAGTAGCTGGGACCACAGGCACCCACCACAACGCCCGGCTATTTTTTGGTTGCAGCCATTATTGTTGTTTGGCGGGTCCGGGCTGGGGATTCGAACCTGCCACCTTAGGTGTACGTGGCTGGCGCCTTAGCCGTTTGAGCTATAGGCGCCGAGCCGAGAAAGTAGTTTTAAAAGAGCTCCTGTGATTAGGTCAGGCCCACCCTGTTTTAAGGTCCTTCCTTAAGTGACATTCCTGTCTTAAGGTCCACTGTACTACACAATATAACTTAATCCTGGGCATAAGCCCACCACATGCACAGTCCCAGGGATGATTCTGGCTTGCACAACAGGGGCCAGTACTTAGCCAACTTAGAATGTGGCTACCCAGGCTAACTGGTAGTCCTGAGGCTTGCAGCTGACTTTTGCCTGTCTACGCTGGCCTCATCTTGTGAGTCTCCCAAGGTTTCCATCCCAACCCTATGACTTAATTGCTTCTGGGGCAAACACTCCTATAGGCCAGAGTGGCTTTATCTGTAACACTGGGATGTCACTGTATCTGTCTGCCGGGCTCTGCCTTTGGGGTTATGGGAAGAGGAGGAGGCAGGAGAAGGGGCCGCCACTCTCTAAGTGCAGACACCCAGCTCTGACGCCTCTCCTCTGGGTCTCAGCATCATCATCTCATCTCACATCTGAGGAACAGAGGCCCAGGAGAAGTCAGAAACTCACCCTGCATCACACAGCAAGCTGCTGTCTGAGCTGGGGTGGGAATCCACCTCTACCTCATGTAAAGCCCGTTTAGGCTGGTCTCTGCTCAGAACCTGCTCATCCTCTGGGCTCAGAGGAGACGCCCCTCTGGAACCTTCCAGGCCAGCACCCACCCCTGTGTTCTAAGACATTCTTTTCTTTCAGCAGACCTGGGCACAACAGGCACCATCCCTTCCTCCAGTGGCCTTGGCGAAGGGCTCAGCGACCCTACCCTGTAATGGGACCTGCCCCTCCTACCTTGCTTTGCCCGCCTTGGGGATTGGGGACTCATCTGCACTGTCCCCAGACGCCACAAAGCAGCGGGTCCAGGGCGGTGAGTGGCGGGGGGACGGGCATCTCCCCGCCCCTCCCTCCGCCCTCTCCGGGTGACGGCCGCGCAAGGCGCTTCCCTCTTTCTCTCTCCCCCTCCGGCCGCGCCCGCCTTCCGCCCGCCCTCGTTCCCTTTCCGCCCTGCCCCGCACTGCAGCGTTGCCCACTGCAGCTGCAGCCGCCGCCCGTGTCTCTCCGGCCTCCGCAGCCCCTGACGCCAGCACCATGGCCAGCACCGTGTCGGGTAGGCGCCCGCAGCCGCGGGCTTCCTGCAGTGGCTCTGGTCTGCGCAGAGCCATTGTCTGGTTACCCACTCGATTTTACCATCTCTTGCAACTTGCGCGTTGCAAGGCTGGGTAGGACCCACGACTTCCGTGGGTCTGGGAGAGCCGGTGCCCCAAGGACAGGGACTGCAGCGACGGCCGGGCGGGTGTGGGCCGCGAGACAGGCTCAGCTCACAGCAATGATGGGGGCGTCGGGCGCCGCCGTGCCAGGAAGGGAGTGACTGCGGCAGCGCGGCCCGGAGGACCTGCGCTGGCTCGTGCCTCTGGGTGGGCGCGCTGGCGGGTTGGGACTGTGGGACTGTGAGACTGTGTCCCAGCGCCCGGCGACCTTAGATCTCGGTCGTACTGTGCGTTCGCGGGGAGGAGCGGGGGAGGGCGGGACCCTCTGCAAGAGCCCTGGAGGAGCGCCAGTGAAGTGGGGGCTGGAGGGGCCGTTGAGGGAGGGAGAGTGGAGGAGCAAGACTGAAGCCGGCTCGAGCCGGGGCTAGTGGGGCAGCGCCTGCACCTCGCCTCGTCGTCCTCCCCACCCCACAATGCTGCCGGCTAGGGGACCACACTCCGTTACGCCTAGGTCTGCTGCTCTGGTAGGAAAAGCCACCGCCCTCTGCACCGCGGGGTATGGACTGGGGAGGGGCTGCTGCTATTTCTAAATCCAAATAGGAGGGATCTGCTCCTCTCCCCGGCCTTTCGTGGGGCTCTGGCGGAGGGGTGGGCGCAAGCACCGGGCGGGTGCTAGACGCAAGGACTCACTGGTCCCCGCGCTCTGCTGGGGCAGAAAGCGCCAGCACCATTTTCAGCCTTGCACTCCTCAGGACCGGCGCCCTTCGTCCCCTTCGCATGCCCTCTCCATCCAAGAACCGCACTCCCGCCCGCCCTCCATTCTGCCCTTCTGCCCTAGGGAGGGCTCACCGTGGTCTCCTCACCGCCCACTTGGCGGAGGCGCGGAACTCCACCCACGCACGCGTGCTGCTCCCCTCCCCACCTCAGATCGGGTGTGCTTAGAGGTTCGGGTGACCTCTAGGCTGGGTAATCTCTGTGATGGGTCAATGTCTACCTCCGTTCCCACCCTTTTTGAGAGTCTTGTGCGTTGGAGCTTATCTGGTCCTCTCCCCCTCACACTGCCCATCCTCAAAGATAGTGGGGACAGGCTCTGAGCTGCTTAGACTCTCCTCCCGCACTTGAGAGGTGCTCTACCACTCCTATGGCTGAGAGCTGCCCAGACCCACCAAGCCTTTCCCATGATCCTCCTCAGGAACACTCATGCTCATGCCTGGGCTACTATTCTGGCATTTGTGTGGCTTCGGGTGGGCCACTTGCCCTACTCTGTAGATATAAGGCTGTGGAGAGCATCACCTTGTCTGGCTGTTCCTAGGGTCACTTGGTGGATGAGTATTGTGTGCCCACCCCATGGGAACGGTTGTTATTTCTACCGTGCTGTTAGAGACCCACGTTTTCCTCACTCCTGCTTTTGTAGAATTTGATCACAAAAAGACCAACATGCATTTTTAACGTTTAATACGATGTGGAAAAGAGAGATGCAGGGAACCCAGATCCTGGCAGAGAATTGTTTCCTAAATGTTTCCCTGCAGTCAGCAGAGGGGAAGGAGAAGAATCCTAAGTGGGGGGGACATAAGGGTCAGAAAAGAGGGAGCCAAAGGGGTGGAGCAGCTCGAGGCAGGGAGGGGGGCTTCCTTGGCACAAGCTATGTCTGTGGATAGGTGACCTGGATGGGACTGGACCTCAGCCCCCTCCTCTCTGCAGTGAGAGGCAGAAGATGTGCTCTTTAAACTTCTGCAGCTGTGAAACACTGATCTGGCCTCCTCCTGGCCCATGGGCAGGCTTCCCCTTATTCACCCTCTCCAAAGTGTGTCAGTTACTTACCTGCCTGCCCTCCTATCCCCCCTGGACTTCCTGCAGCCAGGCCACAGGGTGGCCTCACTCCCAGGTCCTACCTCATCTCCTCCTTGAGGATTGGTCTTCTGGGGAAGAAGGGCCCAAACCAGGGAAGCTCTACAACTATCATATGCAGAACCCTGCCTGTCTGCTGCTCAGAGCCACCACCTGGAAAAGCTCTGACTTATGTTAGCAGTCGCTCTCCACTTCTTTCCTGATGATGCAGGTGCTCACACCTATCCCCTAAATTGTTGACAGCCACTGTCCCCAAGTTGAGCAACAGCTAACTGGAAGGGAGCCTCCCTGCTTTTGGTCCCACAACTTTTCTGTAATGAACATGCAGCTCTTCTTCCTGTTAAAATTTCAAGCTAAAGGCAGAGGGGGCTTTGAGCAGCTTTCATGCCTCAGGTTTCTGTCCCATAAGGTAAATTCACTCAGGGATTTTAAAATGTGATGAGCAAGGATAATCTGAAATGGCAAAACTGTGGGCTGGTATCTATTGGCAGAGAGGTGGGTGCTGGCAGAGTCAGACTTGAAGGGGCCAAGTCCTCCCCTACCTGCCCTCTCTCAGGACCAGGTCTGTTCCATTGCAGCCCTCTGAACCAGACTCCCTCTTGCCACCTTCCCATGCCCAGCACAGAGCCGGTTCCTCCAAATGACTCCTGGCTTGCCACTACTGGAAGTTGGCTATCATACCTCTGACTCCATCAGGTGTCCTGGGCTATACTCTATTATTTTATTTTTTGAGACAGAGTCTTAAGCTGTCACCCTGGGTAGAGTGCTGTGATGTCACAGCTCACAGCAACCTCAAACTCTTGGGCTTAAGTGATTCTCTTGCCTCAGCCTCCCAAATAGCTGGGACTACAGGCCTCCACCACATCACCCAGCTATTTTTGTTGTTGTTGTTGTTGCAGTTGTCATTTTTGTTTTAGCTGGCCCAGGCCAGGTTCAAACCCACCACCACAGTGTTTGTGGCTGGCACCCTGCCGACTGAGCTACAGGTGCTGCCTTCCTCTTTTTTTTTAGACAGAGTGCTCTGTCACCTAGGCTAGAGTATAGTGGCTTCATCACAGCAACATCAAACTCCAGGGCTCAACTGATCCTCCTGCTGCCAGCCTCTTTAGTAGCTGGGACTACAGGCATGCACCACTATGCCCAGCTAATTTTTCTATATTTTGTAGAGATGGGGTCTCGCTTTTGCTTAGGCTGGTCTTGAACTCCTGAGCTCAAGGGATCCTACTGTGCAGGCCATGCTTAGTGCTTAGATTACAGGCATGAGCCTCTGCACCCAGCCTCTTCCTCCTTTTTAAAACTTTTATATATATATATATTTGAAACAAAGTCTTACTTTCTCACCCTCAGTAGAGTGCCATGGCATCTAGCTCACAGCAACCTCAAACTCTTGGGCTCAAGTGATTCTCTTGCTTCAGTCCCAAGTAGCTGGGATTATAGGTGCCCACCACAATGCCCAGCTATTTTTAGAGATAGGGTCTCCCTCTTGCTCAGGCTCGTCTCAAACTCATGAGTTCAGGCAATCCACCCACCTCAGACTCCCAGAGTGCTAGGATTACGGGTGTGAACCACTGTACCCAGCCAAAACTAACTTTTAATAACAAAAATAATATATGAATATGTTTTTTTTTTTT